AAAGAATCTGCTTTAGCCTTCAGACACTGAGCAGCTTGTTGGCCTCCACATTTCATCCACAAAGAAAACTACAAACACAAAGCTCGCCCTCAGTCAGTCTGAGCTTTCTCCGTCCTTTATTAACGTGTAGGGTTTTTGGTATTTCCTGTCGTACATCTCCTGTTCCAGAGGGAAACGCTCATTTTAAACATGACCAAAACTTTAAATACTGATGTCGGTGTAGCTTCAGACTTCTCTTAACACTCAGTTTCTTACAGTTTTTTCTACTCTTGGATCTGTGAGGTCATAGAAAAGGCATAGCTCTAGTACGGTCACCTCATGTTGAGAAGCTCCACCCACCTAATATCTATGAGGGGCAACCAATCAGAAGAAAGATCCTTTGTGGGGACAGAAATGAAAACAGCTTGTTTCAGATAGAGAATGAACTGACGGGCTGCATCAAGGCCCAGAACGACATAAAGAGGGATTATTTTAAACTGTGACTCATGCAAAGCTGCTCTAACAGAGTCCAAGAAAAAAATATGGAACTGAAATGAACAGAATAGATTCACACAGAAATATGTGTGCTAATACACACATTCATACAAAGAAACTTAATATAAGCAGGAAAATGTAAAAGTATCGATACAGGACAAAAATAAAGGTAAACACAGTGTTGAGCATTTAATTACGCAAATAAAATCAAACAAAAACTCGACTTTCTGATTGCTACGTGGACGCAGAGCAGAGCTGCTGTCATTAAACTGATCTACGCTGGTTTTAGTCGCAGCAGCTTCTTCTTCTTCTGTTTGAGATTAAACCGGTGTCAGCAGCAGGGAGGCTTTAAGATGTTTCAGAGTCAGCAGAATCACAGACAGACGTGTGCTGTCCTACACGCTAAGTATTAACATGTTTTATATACGATTCTGTCAGACAGCATCTCCACCGTCAGCCGGCTTCTCTCCTCAGCAGATGTTGCTGTAACGTGGTTCCTGCTGCAGACACTCGGATCATTCAACGTGCAGCATGTGCACGGTGAGAAAAGAAAAGTGGACTTTGTGATGTCTGGCAGATTAACAGCAGAACTTCTTTGATTTGTACAGAAAATCCTTCAAGGATTTTGACTTTTGAATGTTTGCTGCTGAAATTAATGCAACTCTGCAATAAGCACTATTGTCTTCTTCTGTGGTTTTATGTAGAAAGACCCTCTGCAGACTCAGCAGAAGAAGACTTTTAATGTATTTATCTCACAGCAAACAAACAATGTTTGTTATAAAGAGTTTGTCAGAAGCAAAGTGGCAGATGCTAATGTATGCTAACACGAACACCAAACTCCCCACCTTCTTCTGATTGGCCAGCTTACCAACCTCACTGCGACAGGAGTGACTACCAACTCGCACTCTCCCATTTTACCTGAGCACACCTGCACTTCACCACACAATAACACACAAAATTACACCACATACATGTTGAAGGTCATGTGATCACATCACGTGACAACAATTTCCAATCAAATTAAAAAGATCACTTCATGGGTCAAAGCACCAAAAACAAAGCAAATCAGCTTTACGTAGAGTGTGGGACCAAAAACGTTGTGCGTACGTTTCATCATGTAGAGCGTTTGGAGAGCATGACGCTAAATCAGCCGCTTCCTCTGACAGCACGCTGAAGCCAACGAGGCCTGCTTCTACACAAACATGTCTGCCTCCTGTCACATGTTGCCTCCTGTGAGATTCCTGACACCCCTCCCCCACCCATCGCCTTCACTCAATACCAGGTTGAGATGCAAATGAGGAGACTTCACTCAGGCAAGTCTGCTGGACCAGACGGAGTGAGTCCCCTTGTCCTCAAGGCCTGTGCCCCCCAGCTGTGTGGAGTCTTTCATAAACTGTTTATGCTGAGTCTGAGTCTGCAGAGGGTCCCGGTGATGTGGAAGACATCATGCCTCGTCCCTGTACCAAAGACGCCTCGTCCCAGTGGCCCCCAGGATTACAGGCCCGTGGCACTGACCTCCCACATCATGAAGACCCTGGAAAGGCTCATCCTGGACCAGCTGCGACCCATAGTAAGACCACATCTGGATCCCCTTCAGTTCGCTTATCAGCCTCGTCTCGGAACAGAGGACGCCATCATCTACCTGCTCAATCGTGTCTACACCCATCTGGACCAGCCGGCGAGCACTGTGAGGGTCATGTTTTTTTACTTTTCCAGTGCTTTCAACACCATCAGGCCGACCCTCCTGGGTGATAAGTTAGCAGCGATGCAGGTGGATGCTTCTCTGGTGTCCTGGATTGTTGATTACCTGACAGGAAGACCACAATATGTACGTCTCCCACAGTGTGTGTCTGACAAGGTGATTAGCAACACAGGGGCACCACAGGGGACTGTCCTCTCCCCCTTCCTCTTCACCCTCTACACCACAGACTTCAGCCACTGCACAGAGACCTGCCATCTTCAGAAGTTTTCTGATGACTCTGCGGTGGTTGGATGCATCAGCAGGGATGATGAGACAGAGTACCGGGCTGTGGTCGACTCCTTTGTCACGTGGTGTGAGCAGAATCATCTGCAGCTCAACGTGGCAAAGACCAAGGAACTGATCGTGGACTTCAGGAAGACCAGGAAACACTTGACCCCTGTTTCAATCCAGGGGGTCAGTGTTGACATTGTGGAGGACTATAAATACCTTGGAGTACACATTGACAATAAACTGGACTGGGCTAAAAACACCACAGCACTTTACAGGAAGGGCCAGAGTCGTCTTTATTTTTTGAGGCGACTGAGGTCCTTCAACATCTGCCAGAAAATGCTGAGGATTTTCTATGAGTCTGTGGTGGCCAGTGCGATCCTCTATGCTGTTGCATGCTGGGGGAGCAGGCTGAGGGTCGCAGATGCCAACAGACTCAATAAACTGATCCGTAAGGCCAGCAATGTTGTGGGGATGGAGCTGGACTCCCTCAAGGTGGTGTCGGAGAGGCGGATGCTGTCCAAGATAAAGACAATGTTGGATAACACCTCCCACCCACTCCATGACATGTTGGTCAGTCACAGGAGCTCGTTCAGTGAGAGACTGAGATTACCGAAAAGCACCACTGAACGACACAGGAAATCATTCCTGCCTGTGGCCATCTCCCTGTACAACGCATCCACTTAACACACTGTTTGCTGCTACAGCTACACATGTTTCTTTTCCAAATATTTATTTATAAGTGACTTATGTATGTATGTATGTATATATATGTATATATTGTACTATTCTTAGTTAGCGTATTGTCTGTCTTGTCTTAATGTTGGTTTAAAATGGAGCACTGTAACAAAAAATAATTTCCCCCAGGGATCAATAAAGTATTCTGATTCTGATTCTGATTTCCCCCCTTAAACCGGCTCTGTTTAAACACACACTGTTTATAAGGACGATAACCCCGACCTGAGCCTGAATCTACCCCTAAACCCGCACGGTCAACACACACACACACACACACACACACACACACACACACACACACACACACACACACACACACACACACACACACACACACTCCTGAGCTGCCTTACGGTCACACTACATCACAGACAGGTAGACCAGATGCTCTCAGACATGTTGTTCAGGGTAATCCAGCTGTTTTAATGTGTCCAGCACCTGGAAAGCAGCCTCACCTGAGGCCTGCACGATGAAGCAGGACTTTGGTCTTATCCATAAATATGAATGTAAGGATTTCAAAAATAAGAACAGCATAACATGTTTTGCATCGAATATGAACAGAGACATCAAACATCTAGTTTGATAAAAATATGTTTGAGCTTTAATATCTGTAATTCTGTTCACATGTCGACTGTTTTAAAGATATCAGTCCCCTCCTGCAAACTTGAGCTGCCTACAGCTGTCCAAATCCATCTTCAAGCAGCTCTACGTGCCCAAAAGTGCTCCCACAAACATCTGTGCATTCTCCTGATGGGAGGTGGTCAGCTCCTCCCAGACCTGGGTCAGGGCATCCATGAGCTCCTGCGGTGCAATACACAAACCTCACCTCTGGATTCAGGTCTGAGGAGCATGAGCGCCGATCGGTGGCATCAATGCCTTCGTCATCAAAGAAATGCCTGCACACTCTGAGGCCAGGCATCATCCTCCACCAGGAGGGGTCTGGGGCCTGCTGCAGGTGGACCCGGCCTGACAGAGTCTGAGGATTTCATCCTGGTTTCTAAGGACACTCAGGTACCGGTAGCTAACACCCGGAGGTCTGTGGGACCGTCCGAGGATTTTCCTCCCCAGGGTGCCAAGCCGGTCCTGCTGGATGTGGCTGAAGGGTCGTAACGTTCACCGCGGCATCTCCAGACTCTGTCTCTTGTGCTCAGTGTGAGCCTGCTCTCATCCACTAGAGCTGGACCTGTTGGTTCTGCACAGTGATGTGAGCAAAGATTCCCGTGCAGCAGGTTTGGCCCTCCTGCAGTCTGATTCTGACAGTCAGTCGGTCAGAAACGTGCACGAGGAGCACGATGGAGGTCTTACTGTAGCATTCGTGCAGTGCTCCTCCTGCTCCTCAGGGAGATGCTCTTCCACAGCTCCCGTGGACACAGAGGAGGAGCCGGTGCACCTGTGCAGCAGGTCCCAGCAGTTGGATGACACCAGCAGAGCACAAAGCAGAACTAGAGAGAAATCGGTCAGGATGAATAATACCTGCACAACCACTCACCTGAGGGTCACACCTGCACAGCCTGAAGCTGAAGTCCTGTTGTGTCTGTGATGATAGAGATTTAAACAGCAGACAGCACACCTGCGGGACTCGCTGTGATGACAAGCCAACACAAAGCACACAACCAAAGCTCCTCACTCAGCTGAGCCTGTTTACACACGGGTGTGACGTCACCGTGACCAGGACACACAAAGTTTTTTGTTCTCTCCTCTCAGATGATTTCAGACATGAAGTGAGCCGCAGACCGACAGCAGCCCGGCTGATTATAAGTGAGTTATTTGGGTTGGTGATGTGGAATGTGACGGTGATGGTCATATGTGCGGTGCTCACCCTCTCGGAGCTGCTCTCCGGCGGTCCCCGGGCTTCCCTCTGCTCCCCCGCGGTGCTGCCGTGGTTGTGCCCGCGCTCAGCCTCCTCCCCCCGGCCGGGCTCGTCTCCAGTCCCGCGTGCTGTTGTGCTGCGGAGCAGAGCGCTGCAGCCCAGCAGGTCCAGAGGCAGAGCTCACAGAGCCGCATGTTCTCCGCAGGAGCTCCGAGATCAGCTGCAGCTGAGAGGTTCAGGCTCTCTGTCAGTGTGGAACATCCGAACACCCACAGCCGCTGCTGCCGCCAGCCAACTGGAAGAGAGCAGTAGCCAAGCAGCCAATGAGAGGCCAGAGGCGGGCGAAGGAGGCAAGGAGGGAAGGAAAGGAGGGAGAGGAGTGTGCTGTGGAGAGCCTGTGCTGATGGTCTTCTGCGGTGGCTGTTCTCTGGCACCAGAGGGTGCCATCACAAACACCTGACTGTGTGTGTGTGTGTGTGTGTGTGTGTGTGTGTGTGTGTGTGTGTGTGTGTGTGTGTGTGTGTGTGTGTTAACTTGCTTTTCACATCTCTCCCTTCATGCAGTGATCTCTGCTTTCACTCTATATTCTGGTCATGTCCACTTTTCAACCAATCAGGATTCAGCCTCTGCATCATTGTAGGGTCTTCACCTCACAATAGGCTTTTTGAGGAGGCCGAAGAGCTTATTGCGATTTGGTGCTACATAAAAAAAACTGAACTGAATGGGCTGTCAGCCTTCTGCAGGACTGCACGCGAGCACGTCTGCGTCGGCTGCACACCTGTCTGCACAGACAAATAAGACACAAATGCAGCACCGTAACTTCAGCATTACTGTGTAAGCTGTCAGCAGCCTGGGATCAACAAATAGTTCTTAAGTCTTTTATCAAATGCGTGTTTTACTCGTTTTATGACATGTAACCTCAGTTTCTGTCAGGATGAAGCTGAACCATCGCTTATTCAGATGCCCCTCTGTGTGTCAGTGATTGACAGACCCATGAGGTTATCCTCACTTAAGTTAAGATCAGATTAAGATCTGACCGGGGAGTTTCCTGACTATGGATCCAAAACACTGATCTGTAACGTGGACAGCTGCAGGAGTTATGGATGGACTGGTTCTTATTTACTCTCTAGTCAAGCACTCAAAGCACTTTATACAGCACGCCGCATTCACACAGGCACATTTGCTTTTCCCAACTTAGTGCTTTCCAGCATTCACACTCCGATGGATGCATCAATATCTTGCCCAAGGATCTTTGGCTGGTGCAGTCAGGGATAGACCACCAACCTTCTGATTAGCAGACGAATACACACTCCCTGCTGATCCACAGAACACTGTAAATACAGTAAATTCTGATGTTTGTGAATGCTCTTTATTATTTCACAGAAACATGTAAAACATAATTAAATAAAACCCAATGTAGCAAAATATGTGCAACTGCTAAAACTTTAGGTCCTTATTGCGGGTTAAACGTAACGATGCTATGGAAACGAAGTTGTCTTTTTTAGAGCTTCCTTCACAGACTTCCGGACATTTGCAGCTCGGATAATTTGAAGCTTTTGTTTTGAAAGCAGCGGCCGGAAGTAGGTTGTGTGCAGCCGTGTGTTGCTAATGCAGGGCTAGCTCTGAGGCTGCAGATGAAGAACAGTTCCTGCTGCAAAAGAAGCGACAGCGGGTCTTTAGCACAGTTTGGCCCGCTTTAATAATCGTGTCGGTTTAACACGAACTGGGTCAGCTCACACACCCTGACACGGACACCCGGACACGGAGAGCTGGGGGCAGGAGTGGCGGTTCGCTCAGGTATCCGGGTTCGTTAGCTTGTTGCGGGGCAGCGGGATGGATCTGTTCGACGATCTGCCGGAACCGACTCAGACCTCCGGTGAGTTAACGGGAAGGTTTGACGTTAGCAGCAGGGCTAAGGCTCCATCACAGAGCCGAGTGAGCTAACGTTAGCGTTACTGCTGCGGGAGCCGTGCTTCAGTTCACACCCCACAGACATGACTGATCGATTACGCATCGATTCATCGGTCAGCAGCTGCAGGTTTCATTAGCTCAGCGACAGTTTTTCACCTCTAAAATGTGAAATCTGACTGTATAAAAACACTAAATAGTCAGCAAAGCACCGGGAAAATGAAAAGTGACGTATTTCCTTCCATAACGTGGTTGTAGTGAATTACATTTTTTTCTAAAACTCGATATATCCGCGTAAACTCGCAGTTATTGATCTCTTTGATTATTAATAACTGGTATCAGTGAGGAACAGCCAGACAGGCTGTCTCTGAATCATCACCATCTTATCATCTCACCCCCCCCCCCCCCTCCTCTGCATGTACGTCCCTCCTCTGCACATGCGCAGACCATCTCACCCTTAGACGCTCCTGGCCTCACTTTCCATATCAGTCACGGCTCTTTACCGTTCCTGCTCTCACCTCCACACTCCTACCTTTCTTTCTGTTTGGCTGCCCTCAAACACACCTTCCTCCTCCTCTTCCTCCTCCTCCATCTTTATCCAGCAGGAGGATGTTTTCCACCAGCACCCTTTGCAAACGGACAAAAACCCGTAGCTGGTGCTCCTAAACAGGTCTATGAATTCAATAAAAGTATAAAGAAAAGTGTGAAATTCCACGAGCTGAGATGTGGAGTGTTTGATTTTGGTGATGTTAGACTGTGATGAATGCAGGAACAAACGCAGGTAAATGGCGAGGGTTGTGTCAGGAAGGACATCGGGCTAATGTTTGATGCGATTCCTCCTCAGGTCCTGCTCTAGCACCGCTCACAACTCCACCCCCAACCACCAGAGAAGAAGAGGAGGAGGAGAAAAGGTTGAAACGGAAACGAGATGAAGCACACAGGGAGGAGGAGGAGGAGGAGGAGGTCAAGAAAGTTTGCAAAGAAGGTCTTCAGCTGTTCCACCACAATGTTTGTTTGCTTCTTTTCCTCCAATCAGACGCGAGCACACGTGAATACGACTCGCAGAGGCGAGGGCGGACGCCGCCGGTCTCACGCTCTCTTTGTGTGTCTAGGCCTCCCAGTGCTCAGAGGATACGTGGCGGCGAGGCGTGGCGAGCGTGAGGAGATGCAGGACGCTCACGTGCTGCTGCCGGACATGAGCGGCTGTCTGTCCACGCTGCCAGGAAACGTGTAAGAGGAAGTCACGCCCACCAATCATGATCGGTCACAGCTCCTCCGTGTGGTCTCTCTGACGTCGTGTCTTTGTCTGCAGGTCCCGAGTTTCGTATTTCGCCGTGTTCGACGGCCATGGCGGCGCTCGAGCCTCTGGATTCGCCGCTGAGAACCTCCATCACACTCTCGCCAAGAAGTTCCCCACAGGTGAGTTTCCTCCACGCTGTTCACGACCCGCAGTGGTCAATCCCCCCTCGCTCTTATTTTGAAAGTCCAGTTGCTGCTGTCTCCTGTTTCCCTGCTCGCTGTGCGGTCATAGACGTGATTGGATGGATGATGGATGAGGCAGCTGCTTGTTTTAATGCCGCAGTAATAATAGTGATGTTAAAACTGACATAAATCATGTTTAATTATTAGAAGATTTAAACTGCTTTAATATCACGTCATGTCCACAAGAGGGCGCAGTAGTCCAGAGAGACCCAGAGTCATCTGTAAGTTTACTTTGACATAAACGTGCGAGAGAGCCGTGGTGCCTTCTCATTGGTTAAAGCACGTCGTCTCTTTCAGGAGATGCTGAAAACGCAGACAAGCTGATTAAGAGGTGTCTCCTGGACACGTTCAAGCAGACCGACGAAGACTTCCTGAAGAAGGCCTCGAGCCAGTAAGACTCTGAGCGCCAGTGTGCCGCAGCTGTTTTTAAATGTGGAGCAGGAAAAGTTGACGAGCTGTTTGTGTGGACAGGAAACCGGCGTGGAAGGACGGCTCCACGGCCACCTGCGTGCTGGTGGTGGACGACATGGTGTACGTGGCCAACCTGGGAGACAGCAGGGTGAGCCGGCGTTTCTTCACCTCCACCTGCGCTTCTTTTTCTTCCTGTCTTAAGCTTCCTGCTGCGCCGTTTCCGTGTCTGCAGGCAGTCATGTGTCGGATGGAGGCGGCGGCAGACGGACAGAGGAGGTCGCTGACTCTGGCGCTCAGTAAGGAGCACAACCCGACCATCTACGAGGAGAGGATGAGGATCCAGAGAGCCGGCGGCACCGTCAGGTCCGAATCCTTACCGTCCTCCACCAGCGCCTCTCGACCTCAGCTAACGGTGATGTGTTCGTGTCTCCGCAGGGATGGCCGCGTGCTCGGTGTCCTGGAGGTGTCTCGCTCCATCGGGGACGGTCAGTACAAACGCTGTGGCGTCATTTCGACCCCTGACCTGAGGAGGTGTCAGCTCACGCCCAATGACAGGTAAGGAGAGACCAAAAGGTGCTCCACGAATGTAGAAACAGAATCGTGCCGTTTAAAACAGCCTGGTCTGTGTACCTGAGCTCACCTGAGCATCAGTGTAGTGACAGTGAAGGTGGAGCTACATCAGTGCACAGCCCGTTGGCGCCAATGAGAGAGTGATGGAGAGTTCACTAACTAGAAATAAAACGTGTTTAATACATAAGATGCTGCACAGTAGAAACAACTGGAAACAGCTGGATTTGGACCTAAACAGCTTTGGTTTGCTGTGATCTGGGAGGCAGGTGTGTGAGCACTGTCCCTGCTCTCTGCAGGTTCCTCATCCTGGCCTGTGACGGCCTGTTCAAAGTGTTCTCAGCCGACGAAGCCGTGAAGTTCGTCCTCGGCGTCCTCCAGGTATCAGCCCGTCCTCCTTAACACCAATCACAAGTCGCTGCATCAGCAGGAAGTGCGACGGATGAGTGTAACAAAATAAGAGCGCAGTTAGCGTGTCTGCAGATTAGCTTCATGTAACTTTGGATTGTTTTTCATCTGTGAGGGTGTAATCTGTCACCCAGGTAATCTAAGGAGCTCAGGAAGAAAAGCAACCGTTTCTTTACGTTTCATGAAGACGTTTGACCTCTCACTGTAGGATGGTGGAAGCTGGACCCTTAATCGAATCGAGGAGGGGGCCCAAGGGTCCATCTTTCACCATCTCACAGTGAGAGGTGAGACGTCTTCATGACACTTAAAGAAACAGTCGCTTTCCTTCCTGAGCTCCTTTAGGCTACATGTTCAATCGAGGCTCTGCTTCATAGTTTAGACTTATATGTACAGTGGGGCAAAAAAGTATTTAGTCAGCCACCGATTGTGCAAGTTCCCCCACTTAAAATGATGACAGAGGTCAGTAATTTGCACCAGAGATACACTTCAACTGTGAGAGACAGAATGTGAAAAAAAAATCCATGAATCCACATGGTAGGATTTGTAAAGAATTTATTGGTAAATCAGGGTGGAAAATAAGTATTTGGTCACCTCAAACAAGGAAAATCTCTGGCTCTCACAGACCTGTAACGTCTTCTGTAAGAAGCTTTTCTGTCCCCCACTCGTTACCTGTATGAATGGCACCTGTTTGAACTCATCATCTGTATAAAAGACACCTGTCCACAGCCTCAAACAGTCAGACTCCAAACTCCGCCATGGCCAAGACCAAAGAGCTTTGGAAGGACACCAGGAAAAGTATTGTAGACCTGCACCAGACTGGGAAGAGTGAATCTACAATAGGCAAGCAGCTTGGTGTGAAAAAATCAACTGTGGGAGCAATCATCAGAAAATGGAAGACATACAAGACCACTGATAATCTCCCTCGATCTGGGGCTCCACGCAAGATCTCATCCCGTGGGGTCAAAATGATCATGAGAACGGTGAGCAAAGATCCCAGAACCACACGGGGGGACCTGGTGAATGACCTGCAGAGAGCTGGGACCAAAGTAACAAAGGTCACCATCAGTAACACACTACAACGGCAGGGAATCAAATCCCGCAGTGCCAGACGTGTTCCGCTGCTGAAGCCAGTGCATGTCCAGGCCCGTCTGAAGTTTGCCAGAGAGCACATGGATGATACAGCAGAGGATTGGGAGAATGTCATGTGGTCAGATGAAACCAAAGTAGAACTTTTTGGTATAAACTCAACTCGTCGTGTTTGGAGGAAGAAGAATACTGAGTTGCATCCCAAGAACACCATACCTACTGTGAAGCATGGGGGTGGAAACATCATGCTATGGGGCTGTTTTTCTGCCAAGGGGACAGGACGACTGATCCGTGTTAAGGACAGAATGAATGGGGCCATGTATCGTGAGATTTTGAGCCAAAACCTCCTTCCATCAGTGAGAACTTTGAAGATGAAACGAGGCTGGGTCTTCCAACATGACAATGATCCAAAACACACCGCCCGGGCAACAAAGGAGTGTCTCCGTAAGAAGCATTTGAAAGTCCTGGAGTGGCCTAGCCAGTCTCCAGACCTCAACCCCATAGAAAATCTGTGGCGGGAGTTGAAAGTCCGTGTTGCTCGGCGACAGCCCCAAAACATCACTGCTCTCGAGAAGATCTGCATGGAGGAATGGGCCAAAATACCAGCTACTGTGTGTGCAAACCTGGTAAAGACCTATAGTAAACGTTTGACCTCTGTTATTGCCAACAAAGGTTATGTTACAAAGTATTGAGTTGTATTTTTGTTATTGACCAAATACTTATTTTCCACCCTGATTTACGAATAAATTCTTTACAAATCCTACCATGTGGATTCATGGATTTTTTTTTCACATTCTGTCTCTCACAGTTGAAGTGTACCTCTGGTGCAAATTACTGACCTCTGTCATCATTTTAAGTGGGGGAACTTGCACAATCGGTGGCTGACTAAATACTTTTTTGCCCCACTGTATGTTTTAGAAAAAGAGACTGTATGCAAAAGATGGAGACACCCACTGCAACGTCACCCACTGGTTTTGGCCTTAATCCAGTTAAACATGTGAGTTCTGCTGGGTGACCTTCATCCTCCTCTTCATGCCTACAGGACGGGAGCAAAGAGAAGGGGGCGGGGCAGATGGAGGAGGAGCGGCGGTTCGAGGCCGCCTGTCAGCAGCTGGCAAGCGAGGCGGTCAGACGAGGCTGCGCTGACAACGTCACTGTGATCCTGGTTTCTATTGGCTACTGAACTCACCGTCCTCATCTTTGTTTCTGTGTTCTTGCTGCTGTAACGTCCGCTTCTTTTACAATAAAAAAATTTATTTTCCGTCTCCATCAGCTGATTTGTCCCATCAGTGTTTGAATTTGTTAACTTTATTAACACAAACGGGACATAAAGAGGAAACGCATCAGACCGTGCAGCCCGATCATTAAACAACACAGCAGGGACAGGTTTTTTTCTTCTTCTGTGATGCAACAAAAAGTCCAGCTGGATGAAGAAAACATTTCAAATTCTAATTTTATTTGTCTCATGCACAGTATGATATGCAGTGAAATGCTTACACAACTGCTCGTGGCCTAAAGAAACAGAAAATTAAAGTTGAAAATAAAATAACTGTATAAACAAAATACACAGTATAGAAATATATTAATACAATGACGGCAACTGTACAGTATTAAGTGGAAATGAAGAACTATAATGTCCAGTGTTGTGCAATCCACATTTGTAAGTCTTTTGCAGTGCAAATATGCTTTTAGTGATGAAGTGATTCGATTAGATGTTCAATGTTTCATCGTAACTTCTGATAAAAAGCTATGTACGCCATTTTTTCTGCCAATAAACAGGAAACGAAAGGTGAAATTATGCTGGTGAAAGTCAAACGTTTCACTTTGTTGGCCTCGAAAGATTACGTGCATTTTATTCCTCACAGAAGTCGGTTTGCAGCAGCGAAAAACACTGAAAACATGCAAACATCTTTTTTTAAAAGAGATTTGAAACTACAATTAATAAAAGAAAACTAATAACATAATTTTGTAGGGCTAAAATATATTTGTATAGTTTTTTTTTAATATTTTGTCAATATATTTGTTCTAATCTGAATTTTAAAACAAATGCATATACACTACACATAAAACCTTAAATATTTATGCATTTAAGTAGTAGTGCCTGTTATTTACTACATGTTGAGTTTTAATTCAGTCAGTGAAAGAAAATCAAAAAACAATTACGAGTAGATGTGGGTTCAAAAAGATCGATATTAGCTTGAATAACACGATATCGATTCATTAAATCCTGAATGATTTTTAAATATAAATTTATTTTGACAGAATCTCAGGTTAAAGCTCACAAAACTATTTCAACAACCACCAAACAGCTAAAACAGTAAGTGAGAAGCACAAAGATGTAAACGCAGAGCGTGGATCGTCCACAGACGCCGTCGGCGCTGAGAGTCGACCGCTCACAGATCCTGAAGCTGCAGGTTTCGTCACTCTGACCAACACTGACTGAACCAGCAGCAAAAGAAGATCAAACTGCGCTTCACGTTTGATAACCATGCTCATGAGCTCCCTCTGACTTTGGCTGCTGTACTTCCAACAAAACCTGCTTCATGTTTCTCTGTTGGATCCTCAGTTACACCTGCTGTGATGCTCACACCTCTGATGAAGTCTCAATGTCAGCTTTGGTTTATACACAGATATGAAACATGGATGTGTGCTGATAAATGATCAGAATTAGAATATTTCTGACTGTCAAAACTGAATCGAATCAGTTATAGAAATCAGCGACGATACTCAGCCCTAAATAACGGGCACGGTAGGTGTGGTTCCGCCCCGGGCCGCTGGGGGTCGCTGGAGTTGCTGTGACTGTCGGTTGGCTCCGAGCCAAACAAAGCGGATATTAGGCGGACGTTGTCGGTTAGCAACAAGTCTGACAACAGCGGGCTGCAGCGGGACAGCTGTTAGTCCGAGAACAGCGGCTGACCCGGGTTAGTTACTCTCTGATCTCAACCGCGCCAATATGGAGGGCCGACCGGGGCGCGTGTGCTGCGCGCGACGGATCCACCCGCTGTGAGGCTGTGGACCAGGCGCGTGAAGGAGTCCGTCCACGTCCCCGGCGCGTGTTTAAAAATGATTCATTAGAGCGGAGCTAACGGCTAACGGCAAGATGAAGCACCGCAGCTAACTTTATTTACACTCGCACTCACTACAGGGACACGGGACAGCTGGGTGACGTCATGGACTGCCTGCTGGACTTTGAGGATTGCGTCAAAGACTCACCTGAGTTCAGGTAAGCGCGCGCGCGCACGCACACACCAATCTGCGCATGTTCACTTGTAGTGATGACGCTTTATTTATTTTATTCAGGCTGGCTCTGGATCAGTTTGAAACAGATGTTTCACAGCTGGAGACAAAACTGGACAAGGTACAAGTACTACTACCATTACTACCATTACTACTATTACTACTTTACTACCATTACTACCATTACTACTATTACTACTTTACTACCACTACTGCTGTAATAAAAACTGTTAGAGACGCATGGAGACAAGGCACAAGTACTTCCACTACAAATAGTGGTAGTACTATTTGTACTAGGCTACTGATACTGCATATACTAGCGCTAATACTGCTAGACAGTACAAATACTGTAGCTAATACTATTACGATACTAGTTGTAATTTCACAGCTAATAGTAGTACTACAAATACTGTTAATACAGCTGTATACTCACTACTAGTACTGATGAAGTACTGTTAGAAGCTAACTGTTACTAGTGAGGCAAGCTGATTGGTCTGTACTGTCTGTTTCTAAACAATCAGGTGATGAAGCTGTGTGGGAAGATGGTAGAGGCGGGACAAGCGTACAGCACTGCCAATAAGCTGCTACTGAGCGGCCTAGCTGAGCTGTGCACCAATCAGACGAAGGACAGCGTGATCACAGTAAGCAGCTCCTCGATGCATCTGAAAAAGAAGAAATCGCTGCATCCGGTCGTCCAATTTACTTTCAGCTCCCGACGCCCCACAACGTCTGCTCTGTTTCCTCTGAGTTCATTTATCTAACACTACCAGCTAATAAGCCAGGAAGGACTAATGACCTAACATGTCTGCTCAGTTTCTCGGTGGGGTGTTGGGGCATTTCCTGTCTGACTTCCTATTTCCTTCCTCTCAGACCTGCTTGAACCAGTTCCACCAGGGCCTGCAGGAGATGGTCAGCTTCCACACTGTGAGTCCACGCTCAGCTGTACTCGTGTTTGTTCGTCTGAGCTCCAGCAGAGACTCATGTGTTTGACTCGTGTGTGTGTTTCACCTGCAGATGTTGTTTGATCAGACACAGAGAGCCATCGGCCAGCAGCTCACTAACCTCTGCACGCAGTAAGGCATCACTCCGGGGGGCTGATCAGTATGTCGGGGTTCCTGGGTTCAGTGTAGAGGCCGTTGCCACAGTAACAGTAACACAGTTTAGCTCTGAGCACCGGCAGAGCTGCTCTGGTGATGACACTGCTGCTCTTCATCTCTCTGAGGTTCCTGCCCCAGTTGGCGGAGACCAGGAAGGAGTTTGTCCGGATCGGCGAGGATCTGGAGACGGCAGCGACGAAGAACGCTCAGGTGTCTCGACATAAAGCCGCCGACGCCGAGCGGGCAAGTCACCTGCTGCTCGCTACACGCAAATGCTACCAGCACTTCGCCTTGGATTACTGTCTGCAGGTGTGACACCTGAGTGTGTTTAACATTGATGACATGAAGGAACATCAGATGCTTTATCCTCTATGTCCTAATTTTCAGCTCAACACCTTCAAGACTCAGCAGAAGGTCGACATCTTAAACTCTGTGAGTGAAAACACAACTCGTGGGTCTGTGTGATGTCATAGAGGGGGGACATACCTGATACGACCATCTTCGTGTACTGACTCAAGTTTGCGTTTCCAGATGTTCTCCTTCGTCCACGCTCAGTTCACCTTCTTCCACCAGGGCTTTGACCTGCTAAGAGACCTCGAGCCCACCATGAAAACCATGGCAGCGCAGGTCTGTGACCTCTGACCTCTTTGTGCTGGTTTGTGTGGTAGCCTCGGTGTGGAGTAACGGCTGTGTACACGTATGTGTTTGTGTGTGCTCCACAGCTGTCACAGCTGTCTGCGGACTGCACGGCCAAGAGGAAGGAGCTGGAGAACAGACACCTGCTGGTCCAGCAGAGGGTAAGGAGTCTCACAGATCAGCACATCTGTCCCAGCAGACGCTGCAGACAGATGTTAGATATGTTGTTCAAGGAGGGACGAATACATTTAGACTCAAAGCAGAACGAACGCTCTGAAACACGCGTGTGTTTGTTCTAAGGACGCTTCAGGTGAGCCGATGGTCAGCGCATGTCCTGGCAATGATGACATCATCCGGGGTTACCTGTTCAAACGCTCGAGGAGGAAATCTAAAATGTGGAAGAGGTAGAGACCCGCAGTGTCACATGGCCTGCTGACCTTTGACCTCAGTGAATCCTTCTAACTTGTAAACCTGTTTCAGATCCTGGTTCACCATCAGAGACAACCAGCTCATATACAGGAAGTCCCACAAGGTGAGACCCGGCCACTCAATCAAAGAACAGCTAATCAAAGGGATCGATTTCACTGCCTGATAACTGATCAGCTCAATCAAGAGGTCTGAATTTGTTCCCAGCTGGCCGTTCTGTTTATGGTGGTTTAACTTCTGATTGGATTCACACCCTGTTACAGCCATTAAACAGAGTTCAGCTCCTCGGATTGATTACATGTAATCAAATCCAGCCTTAAATCCACCTGCGGGAGAAAATTACTGCCCAGCTCCAGCTGAGATCACAGCTGAACACACCTCACGTGACTTCATGTTGGTGTGACAGGTGTCCCTGAGATTTCTCTGGAAGCTGACCGCTCTTCCTGCTTTCACTCAGAACAATCGTTAGCATGTTTTTGTCTACGTTTATTCATTCTGCAAAATTTACTTTTTTCTTTCTGTTCACAAATTTTTACATCAGAAACTCAAGTTTAACATTTCTAAATCAAAATGTTCACATGATGACAGAAAATTAAAAGTTCAGCTTAAATCTGGAGTGAAATCGGTTTTAAAGTGGACCTCCTCTGATTATTACCTGCTCCGTGACACTTCAACAGGAGAAGCTGTGATAAACTGTGAGTTTAGAGCTCACAGGGTTTACTCTGTGTACTGAGCTCATTATTAATCCGTTGGTCATGGTTGATATGAACATCCATGACAGGAAATAATGACACACTGAAAAAGGTCCACTTTAAAAAAAAAAATCAGTATTTTTCACTTACTCTGATTCGACGCTAAATTCAAATAAAAACAAAGTAGAA